TGTGTGTGTGTGTGTGTGTGTGTGTGTGAAAATATTCAGATGTAATCCCCTTTGTAATCATAAACATTTTCATAAGTAACTAAATTACACTTTTTTTTCTCAGTAACTGTCACAGATTACAGTTACATTTATTTTGGTTACACTTTATTTTAAGGTGTTCTTGTTACAGTGTAATTATACATTTAAGTACTGTGTGATATTAATTAACTACATGTACTTACTATATGGTTAGGGCTAGGATTAGGGTTACTTGCATGTAATTATGCATAATTTATCGTTATTATAATAGTAAGTAACAAGGTAACATGTAACAAGGACACCTTAAAAAGTGTTTCCTTATTTTGTATTCAGTGTATAGTAAACTGTAAGTTTGCATCAAGATTACATTATTTAGCAGCGATGTGCACGTCCTCCCTTCTCTCCAGGGTCCACAGAATCAAAACAACAATTCTGAATGGAAATGAAAGAGTTGTGCATGTGGAGCCTCAGTTGAGTGTTACTCATAGTGATCGTCTGCAAGCAAGCAGCAGTCAAACTATCTGCCCACATCAATAAAACTCAGATCAGATTATTTTCTACACGCTTCCCTGCGTGCCACATGACACTCGACCTCAGAGCCTAAAGCAGACAGACAGGAAGTAGATCGGCTCACCTTCCTCTTTCTCTGCGTGTGTGTTTCTGCAAAGACCTGAGATGGAATAACAGGGGGTTTCCTATATAACAGGCCACATGAAGTGGGAGATGATCATGCCACAGCCGTCATTGCCTGAAAGAAGGAAGCAACTTGACCGCATTTTCAGTATTGTTTACATCACAATCATGACCCTCTCATCTTCTTATGACACCAAACAGGCCGATTTTTTCAATAAGCACTTCTCAAAAGACAAAAAATGAGTCGCAGGTCTCTTCCAATGGTCGCCAATGACAGAGAAAAACAACAAACCTTCTGATCATGCATTAGGGGAGCAGAATAAATAGGCTTATAATCTTTCAAAAGAGAAGTAAAGCTCTTCCGTATCTGTTGTTGATGGCACAGGCTGTGTCCAGCTCGACAGCTTCACGGGTGGCCAGGATAAATCAGGTTTGTTTCAACCACATTATGTTTTGGGTACTGAATTATTGGCTGCTGGGAGCAAGAAATCACTCATTCAGGAGACGGTTAAAAACCACAGTCATTTTTCTTTTCAGCCTTCATTAATAATTGTACAAATAGTTGGGCTTATTTAGTTTTTTGGTAATAAGAATACAATTCAATTATAATTTTAAGAATATTTTGGTTTCTTTTAGATGATAAACAAGTACACTCTTGAAAATAAAGGTGCTTAAAAGATTCTTCACAGCGATGCCATAGAAAAACCATTTTTGGTTCCACAAAGAACCATTCAGTCAAAGAACCGTCTATTTCTTGCCTTTTTATAATCTGAAGAACCTTCCTTCACCACAAAGAACCTTTAGATGTTAAAGGTTCTTTATGGAACCAAAGGTGAAGCACCTTTATTTTTAAGAGTGTATGGTACCGTGTTGAACAGTCACTTGATATGTTTTGAGGACATTTTTGAAAATGCAGTCCACTATGGATAGTGTATTCCTTAAAGTAGATCAGAAATCAGATTTATTTATGGGAAAAAGTCATCAAATTGTATCTAAAACTCTACACAAGTATGAAAGTGACCCATAATGCAGTACTTTATTTGTGTGTTTATGTGTCCTCCAATGTCTTTACAAGTTTTCTTGTTAGTGTGTAATTTATACTGTACTGTACGTGTTCATCCATTTATAAAAACACTTGGTAAACAGCTTTTACAGCAAATCCAGTGTGTGCATCACACAAAATCATATGTGACCCTGGACCACAAAACCATAAGGGTCATTTTTATTCAAGCTGAATAAATAATCTTTCCATTGATGTATGGGTTGTTAGGATCGGACAATATATGGTCGAGATACAACTATTTGAAAATCTGGAATCTGAGGGTGCAAAAAAATCAAAATATTGAGAAAATCATCTTTAAAGTTGTCCAAATGAAGTTCTTAGCACTAATCAAAAATTAAGTTTTGATATATTTACAGTAGGAAATTTACAAAATATCTTCATGGAACATGATCTTTACTTAATATCCTAATGATTTTTGGCATAAAAGAGAAATCAATAATTTTGAACCATACAATGTATTGTTGGCTATTGCTACAAATTATGTATGACTTATGACTGGTTTTGTGCTCCAGGGTCACAATGCATCAGTTATGCAAAAGTCAGTGAGTTTACGTGTGTATGTGAGATACAAGTTTTCTCTCGTCCTTAGGTGGTCAGTTAAGTATTTAACATTTTCTAGAAACATTTTACATACATGTCCTGAAAATATGAATGTAAATGACACTAAGTATTAATATAAAATACTTAACTAGAATAAACAGCAGTTTATTCTCTCACAGACTAGACAGATGTTCAACTGCTGGACATCGGCCTTTATCTGGCATCTGTAACTTATAGCCTATATTTACTTAACTAGTTACTTTAATATTTTTGTTTCATTTTTATAGTCTTTTGTCAGCTGAGACTGACCGATGTAATTTAAGAGCCTGTAATAAGATTATGGCACAAAAACTGTTTTGAGTCTCTCTCTCTTTCTCTCTCTCTCTCTGTGTGTGTGCGTGTGTGTGCGCGTGCGCCTGTGTGTGTGTGTGTGTGTGTGTGCGCGTGTGTGTGTGTGTGAAAGAGAGAGAGAGAGAGAGAGTGTGTGTGTGTGAGAGAGTGTGTGTTTGTCTGTGTGTGAGAGAGTGAGAGAGTTTGTGTGTGTGTGAGAGAGTGAGAGAGTGTGTGTGTGAGTGTGTGTGTGTGAGTGTGTGTGTGTGTGTGTGTGTGTGTGTGTATGTGTGTGTGTGTGTGTGTGTGTGAAGACATCCATAGGGATCTGCTTTGCTTTTGTGTCAGAACACTTCAGTTAGTCTTTTTCATCTTTATTTTTACTTTATTTTTTTCCACCTTAATTATTAGCTTAATTATGAAACGTTACTCCCTTTATTGTATTGTATTGCACAGGTCTATTCACCCTGGCTGTTTCATTTATTGCGTAATATTACTCGTTTCTTTGCTCTAATTCTACTTTATAGACCTTAATTTACACAGTACCTTTTTATTCTACACAAAGGTGCGGAAGTAATAATAATAAACCTAAAAAAAA